TTCTCCTCTTTTCTCACTTCTGGTGAAAAGATCTAAACAATACATTTAACATATATATAATCATGTTTATAGCTTCATTCACTTCGGGGAATAGATTGTTTCATTCACTTCTGGGAATGAAAATGTCTCAAGTGCAATTTCATTTTCATCTTTAATGGAGAATATACCAACTTATAATACAAAAAATATGTTCCATTATATTGATATTGCAAGAGCGTATATGAATTAGCTTTTCCCTTTGATTCTTGGTAGAATAGGGTCTTTTGCGTACAACGGGTACGAGACAAATGTAATTTTCCATTACAATGGTAACATACAAAACCAATATTCTTATTACCATGTTTTTTTCTTTATTTGCCTTTGAATTCTTCAATTTCCACTTCTGAGGAATATATGGGCTCTTGGAACTTGCATTTTCTACATATCAATGTGGGATTGATAAGAATAGGATAACACAGAGAACTGAAAAATTAACTCATCACTTATATTACTTTTCTTGTTAATCCAAATAGATTGACGTGATAAAATATCAATGGATACGAGAAAAGAGTATCGCCCATCTTGATATATTGGAATGAGATAATGTCAACACAAATAAGACAATAAGATAAGAAAGGATATAAGATTTACATACCTTGATCATATTGTGATCTTACTCCAATATACTGGATTGTGTAAAGAGACAATGACCAACCATGATGCTAGCAGAGCTTCGTGCTGATAACGTATTATGAAACTATGAAAATATAAGCAACTACAAGAGATGATTAGAGAGGGAAAGACACAAGAGAAGAGAGGGAAGAGTTCTTATTCATTCTTCACTTTTGATATAATGGTGTGCTATATTTATAGGCACACTTTGGTAACCACTACATCCTTATATCAATGCATATGAATGAGAGATAATGATGTAGAAATAGGAGTTACATGTAACTCCCAAGTGAGCATCTAATGTGGTAGGCCATTGGTCATCCATATATCAATATTTACATAATACGGAGTTATTTATATGTATTTTACTTTCTAAAATATATATGTTGGGCCAAGAAAGGCGTAGAGGCGACGCGCGAGAGTGGGATAAGTGGGGAGCTGCAAAATTAACTGTAGCACAAATGAGGACACGTGGAGGGTAGGATGAGGCAGCATATATTTTGAGCTTAGATTTGTGACGTCATCCAGCCTCTAATTTAGGGGCAAAGCCACCAATTAGTTTTGGGTTATGTTGGCAAAGTGCCACGTTCTCACTTTTAATTATAATGATTATTAATCGAACATTATTAGTTAGCATCACGCCTTCCCGTTTTAGTATTTTGCCGCCCAGCCATATTTTCCTTTTTATCATTCCACCCATTTACCCTTTCCACTTTCGACTTCTTTACTTCTATTTGGTACCCCTTTTTAGGAGTTTTGACACACCAAGATTTTTATTCCCTTTTCTCCTTATTTAGAGGGCTTGTGTATTGTGTTTAGGGTTTCTACGGTGATGGCTTCTAACGTATTGGTTTGAAGTCCAAACTTTATTTTGATATGAGAGCATGAGGTGGCGTAGACAGTGTGGTATCAGCTGGCGGTATTGATATGAGAGAAAGTTGGAATGATCAAATTACTACCAAGAAACTTGCTTTCAAGTTAGCAGTATGAACCAAGGTAAGATATATAGTCTAACGGTAAAATTGCCGCGACAGTGAACGTTTGAGAGTTGCAGATCCCAAGTTCGAATCCAAGCGAGGCTCGTTGGTGTTCCTGGAGGTACAAAGCTAGTCGATCAATAACATTACATGTACCTGAGCGTGCTTAATTAATTTATTGAAGTCCAAAATGTAGGAGTTTGTTACACCTCGTAGAGCATGGACCATAAACACCATTTAGGTATTTACCAACATATATGGCAAGTTATAGCTAGTGAGAAAACACGACAAATACATTCAAAAACCTTTCACACGTATCTCTAAACTGAATAATGGATAGCACATACATCCAAGTTAATTGTCACATACCCTTAATATATAATATAATATAAATACCAAACACTTAATGACGGCCAGATAATCTTATTAATCCATATTGTTATCTTAACTAACAAGGTGCGATTGGATGTATGTTGACCAATAAGAGAACCTTAATTAATCTTTCTTCACTATTGGTGTTGACTAAACACAACAATAAAAAGACGACAACATATGTAATGCAACGAATAATTCAACGAATGGAATTCTCTGTCATAAGGGGGAAAATATACACTAGAAATTGTATCTTAATGAGTAAGACTAAGAACATTCTTGATGGTTCACGTGTATGTGTTTTGAATATTCCGTTCATATAAATTTAATGATATGGTAATTAAGGGTGAAAATGTGTTTGTGAGAGAATGAGTATGTTACGTAATCCGTAAGGATGATTTATAAACTAACTCCATGTTAAGTTATAAGTATGAAAGGATTTAGAATTTTCTTATTCTTCACATCAATGAAAGAATAAAATAGCGAGAATTTATATATTGGCTTATGACTAAGTTACTAAAAACTAAGGTTGTCAACCCGCGGGTTGACCCACGGGTCGACCCAATTTGACCCTGACCCGGTGAGAAAAACGGGTCACACGCACCCGCCGGGCCGACCGCTATTAGGTACCGGGTTGGAGGTCAAATTGTGTCATTTTTTTCTTTAGTTTGCGAAATGTGCCTATTTTCCAATTTTTCTTTTCGCCTTAACTCAATCTTTGGAATACTAAGTTGAACATTTGAATATTTATGTTATATAAGTGTGTGTGAATTTTCACTATATGTTGGATCTAAGTACGATATGTTATTTTGGTGTAATATTATATGTTATAACTCATATGTTAGATAAGATTTGATATAATTTATGAGGATAAGTACAATATAATGACTCTTTCTATATTTCCGGGCCAAACCGGGCTAAAACGGTTGACCCATTAACCCTTGACCCACTAGCTCGACCGGGTCCGGGTCAACCCGCGGGTTGACAACCTTACTAAAAACCTAACTAAAGAAAAGCGATGACGATGAAGAAATCACGTACCTATGCATGTAACATATTAGCTACTCGCAGTACCACCCTGTCAATGTCCTAACGACCATTGAGATTAGTACATTCTAACATAATCAACGACTGTTGGAATATCATGAGTTTCCTTTGAATGTATGTGGTGACAACTGAATTCAAGAACACATGATCCAACATGTTAGGACATCATGACTACAATACACATACGTTTAAGACTATTAATCTAATTAAGAAGGGCCAATATTAATATTGAATTACTAGGTGTTACTATTATTAGTTCTTAGTATCATCACTATCACTATTACTATTATATGAATATTGTCATGTAATTAATGATAATTGTTTATTTTCGTATTTACTTAATTATAATGTGTTTTATTTACAAAAAGAGACTACCTATAAAAATATAAAGAAAATGTAAGGATAAAATTTTTATTATTTTTAAATCTTAATAAAAAACCCATGCTAAATTAGACACATTTTTATGAAAGATATATAATATATATTGGCTACATGAGAACCAAAAAATTGGTTCTAATTTAGTATGATTTTTTTCTAGAGCTTTAATTTTGGGAGTAATTAGCTATTCATTTTTCCCAATACCCATTAAATTGCCTCTTGGACACTAATGAACATATAACAGTTGGCTAGATATATATGAACATCGGTGTTCACAAAAATATTACATGATTTTAAGTATATTTTTTGTTGGAGAATTAGGAAAGATAAAACGAAATATGAATAACTTAATTTGAAATATTGGAAACCTCCTAAAATTTCACTATATCTGAAATGTTGGAAATGCTTTATATCAATTGAAATGTATACATTTTGGGAGAAAACACATCAATTAATACATCGATACATTACTCCAAATATACATGCATTCTTAAACACGTCATGCTCTAAATACTTAATCTTATTTATTTATAATGTTTAAAAAACGATTAAAGAACTCATCAAACGAACTACTGATAATATGAAAATGATCCTTGAAGTTAGTAAACAAAAATCAAAACAATACACACAAACACAAAGTCAATATTTCCCTCATCCCCTGCTAAATTGCAAGTGAACTTTAGTCTTCAAAACCATTTCCCCCCCTCACCTCCCATTAATATATAACTATTATCCCCTTTTGTAAAAAAAAAAAAAAAGGCAAAACAAACATCAAAGAGAAAAGCTCCAAAAAGCATGTAGAAATACATACGTCTAGGGAACAAAGAGTGAGATGAATGAATGAATCAGTATGTGTCATTATCGGGAAGTTAACCTCTACACCGTTGTACTCACGATCACAAACCAACAACACTTTATTACCCATATTGGACCACTCCAAACATGCTAGCTAGGAAACTCAAAGATACAACCTAACCTTCCCCATCCTCCACGTTTAGATATATTTGTAGCTTGCTAATTGGTACGTAATATATATGCCTAACATACCCCACAACACACATAAATATGCACAGAAACAACAAACAACTTTGATAGTGAAACTTGGTACCTAATTCCTCATTTAAAATAAAAACTTTGAGATCTCATCTAACCAATATATACCCCATCCCCTTCCAATCTCTCACCTATTGACACTTTGCACCCCATAAACACACACACACACACCAACCATCATTTGAGAAACTGTACCATATACTAAAAAGCATCAACCTTTTATTTTGTATACCTTGATGACTACTACACTTTCCTTCTCTTAGTTTTTGAGAAGAAAAGAGAGGGAGAGGGAGAGAGAGATAACCCTCTAGCAATATTGTCCTCTCCATCCATCCTTATATACAATTACACAAAAAAATTATCAAAGAGAGTAGTAGTAGCAAGAGAGGGTCATATAATGTGCCAAACACAACCCACACACGCATATCAATATACTTGAAAACAACCTTTACCTTGTCCTCTTAATCTTACTCACCATTTCATGGGGCACTTCACTTATAAACAGCTTAAGCTTAGCTTTGGCTAGAGACCCAATTTGAGAGCAACCTTAGTGTCCAACCTCCAACCATACCACCCTTCCTCCTCCATCTTCCACACATCACATGGAAACCTCACATTAGACCACTTACCGTTATTGTTACTGTTATCCCTAAACCTGACCCCAACCCAGCAGCTAAAAGCTGGGCACCCCTGAAAGTAAGGTCGCAACTTCTCCGCAACCACTAGACGCACTACCACCTTATTACCACCACCACCCTTCTCGCCTGCCGCCGCCCCCACCATCTCTCTATACGCCTGGTTCACCCACCGAACCTTATCCTTGCCGTCCGATACGAAAGCGGGACAAGTGTCATCCTGGAGATCCATCATCCGGATCCCTAACAGACCCTGTCCCTCAGCCACGTCCATGCACCCGCCCGTCACCCCTTCCGCCGTCACCCACGTCTCCACCTCCGCCGTCTCCGGATCCAGCACGGCGGCGCCGTAACTGTCTTCGCTGCTTCCGCGGTTATTCTTTGCACTGTTACTATTATCTTCCACGGGAAGGGTAGGTACGGGATCCGAGATTCTGACGTCAGATCTGTGGCGATCCAGCTTGGCAGCCTCCGGAAGGAGCTGGAGAGTTGCCGGGAGCTGCACAAACCCTAGATCTGCCGCCGCTCCGCCGTCGCCACCTACCCTACTGTTACTATTTTTATCATTATTGTTATTCTTCTTCCGCGGCGCAGCTGCTCTAACCCTAACGTACTTACGCTTCGTCCTTACCTTAGGGACTAGCCTTGCCGCGGAGGATCCGGAGCCCGCGCCGGCGGCCGGCTTGGGAGCGATCGGGCGGAATCTGAGCATCATCCGGCTGATTATCGTCGGCTCCTCCTCTTGCACGCGCCCCGAAGCGAAGTTCATCAGGCGATACCCATCACCTCCTCCGCCGTCCATCTAGGGTGTTTCCCTGCCTCCGCTTCACCGTCGGATCAGGGATTTTACAGTCTCCCGGTGCCGGCGGTGGAGATTTCGGTTGTTTTTTTTTTGGGTGGTTTGTGGAATATTGTTCTGTGGGTTTTCTCTCTCTATCAGGTGGGGGAGAGAGAGAGAGAAGGAAGATAATCTAAAGCAAATAGCGCATCACGGTGGCCGGGTGAAGAGCCTGCACGTGTCCGCTGGCTGCCGAAAGAGTCGGAGAATTGAACTTAAGAAAAAATCTTTATTAAATTATAAGGCCGTGTTTGGCTAGAGTTTATTAATTTCACCTTATATTTTGTCATGAATGGTTAGTCCATGGTAACAACGTTGTAAGGCCGGAAGTTGCCTATGAATCATGATTTACTCAATGCTGAGCATTCTAGCAATATAGGTAAAAGAAATTGGCAGCTTTCCAATAACATATATATATAGTAGGCAATGCTTGATTCACGCATAAACCAGTTCTCAAAAAATTTATTTTTCCTTCTGAAATGTATTAGTCAGTGTACTTGTGTGTACGACGAATCATTCTGCTGTTAAGACAAGGAGAACAAGTGCAATCATACCCGTGCTCAAATCCTCCTTCAACCAAGTTAGGAGCGACCCACAACAATGGTTCTTCAATCAACAAAAATCATTGTATCCGACCATTATACATGTAGAACAAGTTCCCTTGGACATAAACATTTTAAAAATGCAATCTTATGACTCATCCAGTTCGCCCCCCTTCTCTGCTACTATATATAAACAAACAATATCTCTTCCTCATTCCATTACTTCGAAATCCTAAGAGCTTAGAATCAAACAAACAAACCTTACGGTCAAACGATTCCTAAGTGCTATTCTGAAAATGAAATTCAATAATGCCCATATAATTTAATTATCTGTCAAAGTCACAATTTGATTGAAACCAAACAAACCCTACCCAGGTATACAAGCAAGAATTTCCCTTTTGAAAAAAATGATAATATGTGGAAGGTGATTGGCCAGATGAGGGCGTTAGTGGTGGGACCCGCCAGGGTGGGAAAGTGAGGTCGCATAAATGTCGCATTCCAGCCTTGTGATTGGCTGGAATCAATTCAGCCAATGGGGAGCGAGTACGTGTGGAGAGATGTGGACACGTGGGGGCACCTTATTTTGGGAGGGAAAGGGAGTTGGGGCCTATTGGAAAGTAGACACGCGGTCCAATCTCCGCTGCCTGCCTGCTTCCCCCTGTTTCGTACAAATTTTAAAACAGCTTTTATTAACATCCTTTATTTTTTGGGGTTTAGCAAAATTAGTACACATCTTTATTCTTCATTAGGAAAGCAAAAAGTAGGGAGGGTTTCAATAATAATTTCACTCCCCCTTCCCCATTTTATTCTCCAAGATGAATACTTGGGTTACCTAGTCATCATAGGGTTGGGTCGAAGTTCATCTACTTCAATAGCACCATAGATAAATGGCTAGTTCGCCTTTCAAAATTTCCGAGTTCCTCATTCGAGAGCTCGATTTATACCATAAACTTAACATAATTTCAATCAATAAAGCGTTACATATGTCTGGTGGAGATCATATTCACTCATCAGGTACCATAGTAAGTTTACTTGAAGGGGAAAGAGATATCATTTTGGGTTTTGTTGATTTACTTCGTGATGATTTTGTTGAAAAAGATAGAAGCTGTGGTATTTATTTCACTCAAGATTGGGTCTCTCTACCAGGCGTCATACTCGTAGTTTCTGGGGTATTCACGTTTGGCATATGCATGCTCTGACATAAATCTTTGGAGATGATTCCGTATTATAAGTTGGTGGTGGAACTTTAGGTCGCCCTTGGGGAAATGCACCTGGTGCCATAGCTAATCGAGTAGCTCTAGAAGCATGTGTACAAGCTCGTAACGAGGGACGCAATCTCATACGATAAAATTACATAACCACTCTAAACCAAAACGTAAACACATGCCGCATTACGATTTACAAAATGTTTGTCGGTCTTGCAAAGGTGGGAGTTAGATCCGTTTGAAGAAATCTGCAAACCAAGACAACACTCAACGCAAAAGAAATAAAATGAGGGGTCTACATTCTACAAAGTCCGGACATTGGAAGGTGAGTGGACGGATAAGGAAATGGGGGAAGGTAGGCCTTTCTTTCCCATAATTGTTTTGTTCCATTGGAAACCAAAGGAAAGAAAGGGTTGAAGTGGTTGTACGATGAGGACGCGTGGATGGTCCGATGATCAAGCGGATCTTCTCTCCAAGATTTCCTGACAACGAAAGATACAAAGCCAAACCCCACAAAACCAAATTACCATAACAAGATCATATTTCTTGGTGTTTAAGGGGGCTTGTTTGATTAGGGTTAAGTTGGCCCAATGAGATTGATGGATGCTCTATCCATCCTATCACTTCCATCTTTGTCTTCCAATCAAACACCCTGGAATGTCCACTTCATCCCCTTACCAGATTGATACAAAAGGTGATAAGAAACGGGGAGGATTGGAGGAAGGAGGAGTTGCCTCCATGGTTCGATGCACCACACAAAGACATGATAACCATAACAATGTGATTAACTCTATAAAAGAAGTCAATGTGGTCTAGTTAGACCCTTAATCCGACCCCTCGCATGGTTCATCGATCGGACGAGTTGGAAGAACTATGGATCTAGGCGCGTACAGCCAGGAGTTAACTCACAATATCGCTCAAGGTAGTAGGGAATTAGGGATTAGAATTGGGAAATTTGGGGTTGAGAAAAAAGAGAGATGAGAGGGAGATGAGGTTCGGCGCCCTTAGGGATGAAAAGAGCGGCCGAGTTTAGGGAGGGAAAACGAGAGAGAGAGAGAGATTGAGAGAGGAAGAATTAGGTTAAGAGAATAATAATCCTTATTACTTGCTTAACGTAAAAAAAACCCACCCGTACAGAATATATAAGACCGACAAATTACCTATAACTACCCGAATAATGAATAATATCCGAATTACGATATATTCCCCCAAAGTTCGAAATAACAACCATAGTCCCTCAAGTAGTAATAACTGCCAACCCGACCCAAGTACTGCAGACCCTAGGATTTATGTTTCCTACACGAGTCCACCGCCAACCAATCTTACCAATTCATCTAGCCTGTCCTGCCTGACTAGATGCGGTAAGACTAGGCATGGGGGAACCGCAACCCGAATTCCCTTTTATGGCCCCAAAATCAATGGTGGATTCGTGGACTCAATGGATGGTTGCTTAGGGTGCACATTGAGGATCAAATGAACGCTCAAACGAGTAACAAAACTGTACATCACGACCCAAACAAGATACTACACAACCCCAACACCATCAGCAACATAGCCCTGGCGAGAATCTGCCCATCCATTTGGTCTCCCGTTGGCTTGTGCTATTGGTCCATATCCAAATTGGGCCCATTGAAAAGGGAAAGCCTATTCTGATTCAAGACCCTCAAATGCATAAGCACCTAATCGAACAACCTAAAGAGCAAAAAACATTCCGATTCTCGGCAAAACAACAAGAAATCAGCTCTGTAGTCCTGTGCAAAAGTTGCATCCACATCTCATAGTAAAAACCAAGTTCTAAACACAAATTCTGATGTCCACTTCAAAATGTGGTGTTTACATAATGATCATATATATGAGCTGGGAGTTGCTTTATTTTCTTCCTGTTACCATAAAATAGAAAGAAAGAAAAATAAAGAGGACAAGGAATGCTGGTTTTTATGGAGGGATCGTTTTCACTCCACCCCACTCTAATAGAAAACCGACCACATTTTAACATGGCAGTGTAGTAGAAAGTAGAAACCTACTCAATTTCTCTGGCAAAAAAAGGAACCACCAAATTATTTGCCCAAATTTCCCCCCAAAATGGAGAAGGATAAACCGGATGAAGAAAGAACAAACTTAGTTGACAACGTCAACAATCAACTTGCGAGACTTGAGGACCGACCACCTCATACGTCGATGGTAACCGACCTGGAGCAAAGCCAAGGATAGTAGGAATATCCACTTGAATCCCATCTGACGATTAGGCAGGAAACAAACGTTAGTCATGTAGAGTTCTGAAAATGTCTGAAAACGTGTTGGGAACCTCAGGGGGGTGGAAGTGAAGAGGTAAGTCGGACTTACCAGTTTCCTCTCTTCCATTTCAGGTTCTGCAGCCCATGACAAGAAAGACACGACATCTTTGCCCATCTACACCATCATGAATAGTGATGTTTTTTTTTATAAGGGTGAATATACATCATGAATAGTGATGTTGAAGACGCCAGTGACAAAATAATAATGACTTTGAGCCTTTTCAGAGATATAAGAAGGTGGGAACTGACCTGAGCCTCAGTTGCTGGGGTGCCATCTTCATACTCAACAGCACCATCATTGAGCATCTTGGGCATAGCAATAGCTCCACCAGGGAAGTAAGGATTGTAGTGCAAGCCCTCACGAATCTACAAGGTCAAGAGAATTCTAGGTTAGACATCAATGAAAAACAAATAGCACAGCACCAAAGACAACCAACATGATAGAGTCATTAATATATTGACAACTACATGACTCAGAAACTGCAAGTAGAACTATATGTAATATCTGAAAGTAGCTACGATACAAAAGTGTGACAAACAAATGGTAATTACAATCATCAAGACATTGAAATCCAGCAGGCACTAGACACAAGGATCATAGATATCAACTTACAATTTCTTAATGACTGAATGATTCGGACCTCCCTAAGTGTAAGAGATGCTAATTAACAGCCAGGCAAGGCACAATTAATACAACTAATACTACGCCATTTGTTTGTTGAACACAACAGCATGTAAAAGAGACATCGAAGTTGAATTTACCGAAATTCCAGCAGGAGGCTCACGGTACCCAGTTAAGAGAGCAAAGACGTAATTCTGGCCATTGTGACGAGCCTGAAAAAAGAGACGAATGAGAAAAGAAAATTCCAGGAAGACTCGATGGCAGTTAAAACGAACATAAGTGTAAATTGAGAATTACTTTTGTGATGAGGCTGAGATCTGGAGGATAGGCACCTCCATTAGCAAATCTAGCAGCAGATTCATTTGGATATGGCTGAGGAAAACGGTCACTCAGTTTTCCTGGGCGGGTGAACATCTCACCTTCATCATTGGGACCATCGACAACTTCAATCTCAGCAGCCATAGCCTTTGCTTCCTCTTCTGTGTAAGCAACACCCACCAGATCACGGTATGATATAAGAGACATGGAGTGGCAAGAAGCACAGACTTGCGTATAAACCTGGTGACCACGTCGTATCCTATGGAAGAAAGTATAACAACCTGATTAGTTACACAATAATGACTTGTAACAATGAGAGAAAGAAAAACCCATATAAAAACTCATGTGGCAACAAATGGACTCACGAAGCATGGTCATAAGAGCTCAGGATGCCACTGTGAGGCCATGGATAGGTTGGTGAAGCTAGGCCATGCTCGGCCTCATCTGAAGCAGATACAACTGCAGTACCCAGAAGCCCAGAGAGACCAACTCCAACAAGTGCCAATGCTCTAAGGGACTTCTCACCAAAAGATCCAGCCTCCTCATGACCTTTCTTTGAATTGAAGAAAGATGAAACTGAAGGGACCTGAAAGGTGTAAACTGGAATATATTAACAATAGATGGAAAAAGTAGTGAAACACAAACTAAACTATGCAACATAAGGAACATGATTGGTCTGATAATCAAACAAAATTCACTAGTTTAAGAAGTCTGCAATGTGGTTCATATAATAAAAAACAAATTTACTGAGGCCAGACCATATCTCAACTAGACAGACGTCATAACCAAAGGAATAATCACAAGGCAACAAGGGATGGGAAATGGAGATGAAAAGAGTCGGGAGATCAGAACTAGAGTCGGGAGATCAGAACTAGACAGGGATGTAGAACTTACAATGGAGTGAGAATGGAGTTTCCTCTGAAGAAGCTGGCGGATAACCCCTCCTCCAGCCATTTTGCTGACTATCTATTTCTCTGAAGCACATTGCAAGAAGAAAAAGAGCAACAATGAGACAGTTCCAGAGGAAATAGACAACAGGTCAAGCAACGACCAAATGAAACTAAATCCTAGACATAATTACAAATTCACTAGATCCTTAAATTTCTCACTTATAAAAAACAAGGTTCATCTATCATAATTCATAAGCAAGCAGGGTTTATCCAGCCATTTTACTGATTATGTTTATCTACCAGTCCCACCTTCATGAAATAACTTTTTTTCCCTGAATCCTATAAAAAACGCTGGGCAGACGCTGAAATCCTCTATCAAATATGAGGATGCAACAGCTCTGCATGTATCTGATGAAAAAGAAGTCCCATACGCAAGTTTTTAAATTTGGGCATCCTATAACTCCGTATCGTTTCTCCGCAGGCATTCCAGCTCAAACACAACCCTCAAACATCCAGACACCGCCAGCTTAACGAAAGGCAGAGTCGCAGTGTTTCTGTGTGAAAACATGAATTCAATCTATTACTAGCGTCACAGACCTCCAAATCGGGAAAAGAAGACAACTTTTCGTAATCCCTAGTGGCCTGTGGGAGGCACAAGTAATCCACACGCTTCTACCACTCAACAGACCACAAAATAACTGAATTACTCCAGTAACCCACTAAAAACCCATCTCTCGAAACGTTTCCCCATTCCCCCCTACAGACCAAATACGCAACCACGAATCAAATCCAGCAATCATACACCATAAAAGAACAGAAGCAAATCATAAGA